CCCCAGAGGGGTTTTTGGGAAAAAGACTTGGTCCAACCTGCGGCAAAGCAGAAAGGGTGTTGAGCCTTGGTGAGGTTTTCTAGGTCCTCTGTCAACAGCTCATTGTCGAGCCGCACGCCGCGCTTCTCCTGCGGACGCTGCAGGCCACTAGGTTTGTAGGGGAGCAGTATAGACGTGACGGGGTGCCGCGTACAGCATACACACTTTCATAGTTTCATGTCTGCGAAGACCCATATTGCCCCATCTCTCCTTCGCCCGGTCCAGCAGTTTCTCGAAGTGGCTGAGTTCTATGTTCAGCACCACATCAGAATACATTTGCACGAACCTGAGTTTTCGCTGAAACCCATTTTTCCATTTTTGTCTGGAATTTGAATATTCATGAAAACATTAACGTTGTTCGGCATGGTCAAAGAAACCGACGGTAGCTGTCGAAGGCGAAGCGGCGGTCCCCCGACTGCTTCGCAAGGCTTTCCACCGTGACGTCGTTGAGGCCAAGGTTGAGCACCGTGTCCATCATTCCCGGCATTGAGGCCCGGGCCCCGGAGCGCACAGAGACCAACAGAGGGTTCGTGGCATCTCCGAACTTACGGCCCGTGCGCGACTCCACCAAGGCCAAGGCCTGCTCGACCTGAGTCTTCAACTCCTTCGGGTAGGTACAGCCATGCTCGTAGAAGTAGGTGCAGATCTCCGTGGTCAGCGTGAAACCCGGGGGAACAGGAAGGCCAATTGCCGCCATCTCTGCAAGGTTTGCACCTTTCCCGCCAAGGAGATTCTTCATCTCGGCGCGGCCGTCCGCCTTGCCCTCCCCAAAGTCGTACACCCACTTGGAGGCCGCCATCCCTTCTGGAGGAAGAGATATGCCTGAAACCTTCGCACTGATCGGATTTTCTGAAAATGGCTTCGGCACGGCGGGACCAAGTTCCTCAACAACGTGCGGCTTGTAACAACTATTAAACTGCTTCTGAGCTGCTACTGCAGTGCTCAGACTCTCTGCAAAAACCGCCCCCGGCTCAGCTGCCCTGAGGCAAACCAAATGCGAGACCACATGTGTTACCTGGGATTTGGTGACACTGTCTTGACCCTGATATCCATACCACTAACAACATCCACCCGGAGCACCAGCATCGCCATGAAGGCCATTCCTACAAGCACCTGCTTTATTTCTGCTACTCTACCTCTTAAGTTCTTAAACGATTCATCCTCCTTAGAGCAGTACAAAGGCCAGGCTCAAGAAGGACCAAGAAACATGTTAGCGCAAAGGGGGCACATCCGAATTAAGGGCGGTTTGCATTTGCAGCAGAATCCTAGCGGATATCGTCATAGATGTCACCGTGACATCCATCCTGGCAGCACTGGCAAGTCGACGAGGTGGCGATCAGCCTCCAGGCCCCTCTAATTCTAGGATGCAAAACAGCTTACAAAACAGGAATCCATCTAGGTAGATCGGGCCCTTCCCATGCCCTGTCCGCACACCGAGTGCGGTGCCCAGCCCACGTATTGAGCGGATCGGGCGAGGCCTGTGAGGCCGGCAAGGGACATGTGGCCCCGCTACGCTGCAGCACCATGATGCAACACTGGTCACAACAAGCATCATTGCAGCTGCACTCGACTAACTTCGAGCACCCACTCTCCTCGTTAGCAGCATAAGGCAGGATTGTCACCGACGCCTTCAGAAATCTCTGGAGCGTTCGGACTTGCTGTTGCTCGTCGGTCGGCCCACTGCCGTCCTTGCGAACATTGCGGCTAGTATCGTTGTTTGGGGAAACTTTGTCGTGGGCCCAGATTTGTGGATACCACCTACTATGACAGCGACAGCCCGGCACCCCAGAACATCCCGAAACAATAGATCTATCTGGATCCGAACCCGGTCCAGAAATGGCTCCAACACCTGGTTTAAACTTCGCTCGTCTGGCTCCTGGCGCAGCGGGAAAGGGCAATCGAGTTGGTTTGAAGAACCCTGGTTTCGATGGATGCTTACTGTCCCATGGTGATTAAGCTTTCCTTGGAATCGGAAACGATTCTGCGCTGAATTGGTGCCAATGGCATGGGTGAAAATGTGGATGAATAACACTTATTGAGATGATTGCCGGCGTGACCACGGCCAACATCCTTGTTGTCATACTGCTCAGACCCTGCTTTCACCCCTGTCGTCAACATCATCTTGGAAAAATCGTCAATGTCCACGAGCACAGCCGCGCGAAACAAAAACGAAACACTGAAAACCTTGAGGTGGTCTGCTCCTCAGCCTGTGCAGCCTGTGGGCCATCTTCACCCAACCTGACAGAGAAGAGAACGAGGTCCTCGCAAGGATCTACATGCACTGCCAAGGAGCCGATTTGCTGCTACTTGCGGCCATGCCTATTGTCCACAAAGTTTCTGGTATGGTTTCCCTAAAGAGCGCGCCTGGCACAAACCCTAGGTCCCTCATCGCACCTGGGGGCAGATGCGCTGTTCAGGTTACCTGGTCGGCGGCCGCCTCAGCAACGCCCATGAGCACTCAGGCTTCTGAACGTCTGGGGTACATCCTGGTAGCTTACTTATGGCTCCGTATGGCAAGGATCCTCGTATTTGGGGGCGTCGTGTGTTGCATGCAAGGGCTCCTGGTGTTCTTGTTACTGTTCCCTCAAGGTACGTGTGCTTCAAGACTTAAGCCCTTCAATCGCAATGCTTTCGGCCAACCGGTCGAATACGGCTAGGGTGCAGTGTCCAAACTAACACGCATACGGTTTATTATGCTTGCCATGTGCACTTTTACAAGCATCAGCGCATTGCTACGATGGTTTGTTGCAGTCGGGGCGACGACAGAGACGACCCGCCCGAGCCCCGCACCACCAAGGATGACGGGACCTCAGGCAGAAATTGACAGACGGATGCAGCCCCCGCCCAAAACTGTCTTCCTGCGCTCGAGGATGTGGGCGCCCTGCGTCGCGGACTGTCCTCCGGTGCTGTACTGCCTCCGATGGTTCGCATCGTTCCTTTGAAATGGTCTTGTTGCTTCCCCATTCTGGCTGAAACTTTTTACTGCTGCTGCTATTGCAATAATGAATGCCTCCTTGTCATGCGATTGCATGCATTTACCCAAGGTTGTTGTTGATACTACCACTAGTCTCACTGGTCTGTGATCTTGCCTCATGAAGTCTACTCATGCAACTGGTCACAACCATCTCGTCACCTCTTCTATATCTCAGCTATGCTTTGTTAGCTCCTGTGCGATATTGAACACTGCTACTCTCAGTACCTCTTACTTGAGTTGCCTGTTGGTGTTGCCGCAGCTTTCGCGGTCTTGGTTGCGGTCGTAAGTTTGCGGCTGGTGGTCGCAGCAGTAGCTGTGGTAAGTATGGTAGCAGCTGCAGGATTGCGGGGGCCACTGTTCATCGTGGTTGGTATGTTCGGTGACAACCATGGTCTTGAGCTCTAATTCGCTGGAGACAAACCTATGCTGATAAGGCTGTCGAGTACTGATCCACCAACTGCAGCTTATGGACCAAATCTATGGAAAATAATTAACTGATGGCCGAAAGAATCGAAGCAAGGCACCAACAACACACGACTCCTGCGCTAAGCTGCTTTTTCAAAACGATGTGCATGCTGTGGATGCAATCGACTGAAGCAGTCCGAGGCGATACGCGCAGAAACCTCTGTCTTTCGGAGGCATGGTAAGGTACGGCTCGTCGTAGGCAGCTGAACTATCACTTGTCCTTCTTGCTCTCCTGGTCTTTGGCTGATGCTGGCTCATCACCTTCCTGGAGGATCACGGATTACAAAGAGAAATGGCTCAGGCTGACATTCTGATGTTACTGTAAATGTTCCGACAACTCGAAACGCATCGCCGAGCGGCTACGATGTTGTAAAACAAATTGAAGGCGGTGCGTGCCAGCCACACCACGAGATGTGCCTGACGGCGCAGGATAAGATGCTGGCTGTTCGTGCCCCGGACATGAGCTGGGAAAGCGATCACACCGAGATCCCAGCAGAATGTTAAGCTTATGCAAAGGCTGAGGAGATGGTGAGCATGCAGCAAGGGTGCAGTGAATATGCTTCAAGCATCCATCGTTTATGCTTGAACCTCGACTTTCAGTGACCTGAGGCATTTTCTGTACTGTCGTCTTGAAGTTGATGTCTTGACATATTGCCCATCTTTAATCCAACTGTTGCTCTGGCATATCATATGAATCATGTCATGTCCAATCCGCACATGGCTTCTTTTGGAGCCGCCTGGGCCCAAACCAGCACCGCCAGCAGCAGCACCACGAAGACCCGCCCAGGATAGCCCAACATCGCCCCGGCTGCCCGGTCCTGAGACTGTTTCTGAAATCCTTGTGCAGATCGTGCTTGCGTGCGCATGCCCTGGCCAAAAGCTTGTATGTTGCAGACACATGCATTGTGGATGCCGTGCTCAACAGCCGGAGGCTCCGCATTGAGGTAGAGCGTCACAAATTTCTTCGCAATCCAGAGGGCATATCCTCAAGTGAAGGTTGCGCGTGTCTTTGCAACTGGCTTTTTGCGATTCCTAGCGATCAGACGCAGGCGTCCTCGAGGAGTGCTGCTCATTCTCCACATCCTTGCCACACGTGGAAGATGCTCGGGCAGCCTCGGAAAATGTGGGAATCTGGGGTATACGGTATACTATCATTATCTTGGGAATATTAAAGAATATAATATTGAATAATATTCAAAGCTGGATCAGAGCAGGCGCTTCTCCACGGTCAAGTATTGGGCATCCTCGACCCAGTGATCGGAATCGTCAAAGACCACAACCTAACGTCCGCCGACAGTAGTGTCATGCATGTCGCAATGTCAAGAACAGCATTCTGAGAAAAACCTCAGGAGTTCGTTCTAGAGTCCAAACTCCGTATGGACTAAGCCTAAGCGTATTATGGCCAGGAGGCACGAGGAAGGTGGTCTGGCAAAACGCCGAAATACGTGAAGCCAGGTAGAGTTCCATCAGCAACGCCAAAGTATCCTTAGCTGCGCAAGGGGGCAAAAGGGCGTCCGAGAATACTGAGCTGCTTGACGGGGCTCTGTCTGCTTCGCCATACGTGTACACATCCACTTGGCCGACCCGCTTCGGCTTCATGACCTTCAGCACTTGCACGGTGTTGTCGAGCATTCGCTGCATGTAACACTCAGTGGCTCGTCGCGATGGTTCTGGCACTGATGAATTGACAAACGGAACAGTCTTTGAAATACTTCCCCCATGCCAACACTCCACGACGACCTCCTTGATCTTTGTCTCAGCCATTATGTTGGTTTCGTGGTCCGTGACATCCACCGCTAAGAGAACCTCAATGGCCATGGCAAAAGCATTCATCCACAGACATGGACCAAAGAGTCGCAACATGACCCGCCAAATGCACCCTTGAGCGGATGAAAGCCTTTGCCGACTCGAGGCTGAAGGACCCGAGTTCAGAAAGAAGTAGACGCTGCTGAGCCCGAGCTTCGCAATGCCAGGGAGCCGGTGCCTAAGCCCAAAGCAGCACAGATTAGATCGACCGTGATGGACCGATAGATTCATACCAGTACGATCCCACTAGGCCTTTCAAGATCGGAGAAGCCAATCATCGTCCAAACAGCTCATGATGATGCACAGCTTTACACAAATTCTCCAAGAGCATCGACAGGGCGCACGTTTGCTTATGTCTCACCTTGCACATGCAGTGACGTCGTCGAGATACGTGGACACCCACTTGAGCAGCGAGTGGTCATTCTGTATCACCTGCAAGGCCCAAGGAGCGTGCCATGGCAACACCGGCACAGCCAGGCGAGTTCCCGCTAAGT